TTATATATAGTAAGAAACAACAGCTGCAAATGAAATATAAATATTTTCTCACATAGGACACATTCATTTTTCTGGTTTTTCTTTAAACAAAATTGAAAGTTAATTTTCTAGAAAAAAAAGTAGACGATAAAACCAACAAGACTTTTTTTTAATAAAATTTTAATTGGAGATAAATTTATGGTAAATAAATTTATTGGAGATAGTTTTTAATTTAATTTCTTTTTCGTTATTACTTCACTCTGAAAAAAAACTCTTCGGAAGCATTTTATTTCAATATAAGTTAAAAGGTAGGTAGGTACTTTATTTACGTCTCACTAGAGTTGAACAATGGGCTATTGGCGACGGTCTGGGAAACATCCCCGAGGAGGATCCGAAGACATACCATCACAATTTTGATTCTCTGCCTAGCGGATTGCTCCCCAGCTTTGGTAGCCCGACGACCTGCGGGCAAAGTCGAGCAATTTACGATAGAAAAGTTTAACGAGTACTGATACCACGCATCTTCGGTCCCTACGCAAGCTGATCAAAGTGGTCACCCATCTGCTTACTGACCCTCAACCAGTCATGCTTGAGTTAGGTGTTCTACTGGGAACCGTGTCTTTGCGATCAGTACATTGCGGAACATATAACTTAAAAGGAAGACAAAAATACTATGACTTGCAGTAAATAAGTAATTAATTAAAGCAATTATAGCACGGTCAATGCAATCACAACTGCAAAGACTTTTTTACCAGCTGTGTACATATATTTCATTTGTTACTCTCGGAGTCAGGGAACTGACCTCACATCAGAAAGGTTCTGGGTTCGAATCCCGAGCAAGGCATGGAGGTTCTTTCATTCTCTGTACCAGCTGACCTTACTGTGGGAGCAACGTTGGCCCACCTAATAGGGTGCCCCTGAAACAGTGGTCAACAAATCTGCCCTTCAGATGCTTTTATGACCTAGGTCATTCTTCAGGTGGGTATTGAAAAAAAAAACAACTCTCGTAGCCTCCCTAGTCGAGTGGTGCAAAGCTTGGAGGTAGTGGGCTCGAATCTCGCAGTTACCCTGGATGTATGTCAGTGCTGTCCTTCGCTGTAGTGTGCTATCTGTCCTTCTATTCGACAATGGCTTATAACCCTAAAATGAGCACGCAGGCCCGCAAATATATGCGATTCCAATAAACAAGATTCCAATAAACCATAAACTCTCTTCCATTCTTTTAGAGGTTATTCTCGGAACAGATACGATCGCCTAACCGATTAAAAATACCAAACAAACAATCGATTTAAAGAGAGAAAAAAAGCTCCGGTTGAAACAAAGCTAAGAAACGGCATGAAAAGAATGCTTTTATTCCACTCAGCAACATGTTACATCAGCCCTACCTGATCCCAAATACCTGTTACAGAAAAATATTGTATTAGCAATCTCATAATTTAATCAAACAATTGCGAGTCTTCAAAGAGACCTCTGGTTTAAGAGAGATATATAGATAAAAATGATCCGTTAAACTTTCGAAGCGGAACAGGTCTCTAGAAGTGCGGCATGGAACATTTGAAACAAACAGAACTGAAAAGACTCTTTATGCTTTACGAGGGATGGTTAGAGCCAAACAAAATAAGCCTTTTTCTTCGGAAAGGGATCAACTGCTCCGTTCCAGCAAGCATAGACAGGGATGAGGGATAAGATGATGACAGGTAGTGATGAACTTGGAGGGAAAATGGTTCAAGTCGAATTTCTCAAACTGTCCCTGTAACTGCTGCTTCTCCGCAATCATCGGAGTCTGCTTTGTTGAATAAAGGCGATGTATTAGTTTTGATGCAAAGCGATTGTAGTGACATAATTTTAACTAAAATACAAAATATTTGATTTCCTTTTATTCCAGTTACCAGAAAGAACCACCTTAAAGATTAAATACAAGATGAATGGGAAAAAGGCCGCTAACGGCCCCAGGCGCCCAGTTATATTTCGATGATGATGATGATGATGCAAAGCGAAAAAGTGTTATTCATATGTTTGTTTCAATTTTCGTGTTCTACAATTTAATAGGCAAAAATTTATTCACACATTTCAAGTAAGACTTTTTAAACTTCGAAAATTTCAAAAAATTGATTGTTTATTCTTATATATAACTAAAAATAATTCAATATTTTTTTTATAATAATTTAATATAATAATAATATTTTTTTAATATTTTTTTAATATTTTTTTCATTTAGTATTTGTTCACGGGTAATTTTTAACATGTTTGTGAATGATTACTTTTTCTTAGATTTTCTTCTTTGCAATCTCTTGCGCCTACTGAACTTATAATTTTTTTTAAAAACACATAAATAAAAGCGGTTTTATTTTTAAAAACATTTCTTTCTCATAGAACAGATTGCAACACAATTTCTTAAACAATTTTTTAAATAAACTATTTTAAACACGTTTTTTTTTTGTAATAGTACGCATTGTAACACAATTTTTTTCAAAAACAAATTTCTTGTCATAGTACGTATTGTAACACATTTTTATAAATATTTTGCTTTTCATTTTTAGTTTCATTGTCAAAAAATATTAATGTAAATATTTACTTTTAAAAGCAATTTTTTTCGAATTTCAAAACTCCAGAATGAAAATATTCCAGATGAGTTCAAACCAAAGTTTCAAAACTAAATAAAAAAAGTTTTAGAAAATCTATTCAGCAGTCTCTGGGATAAAAAAAACCCTCAACTTTATAAAACGTTGAAATTAAACACTTTTTTCTTAACTAAAATATTGCACTTTAATTTAATTAATCTGTTCGAATTTTTCTGATCGTCAAAAGAATAATATTTATCTTTACAGAATTAAAAATACACTAAAATATATAAATTTCGTACTGTAAAAATTCAATTTTTTTCCTACTTCACGAAATTTAAGTAATTAAATGTACATTTTATTAAGGTAGATTACCAAAAAACTTATTTATATGTACATTACACACGATTAAAAGTAAAATTAGGTTCTTTGACAAGACGTAAAAATATCTATACATAATGACTCAAAATTTATTTTGTATTTCATTATAAAATTTTATAACCCATTATTACGGAAAATAAACACAATACACTCTCGGATATCTCGAATTTCGATATCTCGAAAACTTTGTTATGTCAAAAATCAAAATTATGTATATATATATATATATATAAATTTTTCTCCATTATATATCCACCTTGGCATTATATATCCATGTTAATTTGAATTCCTATGTCGAGGGGTTTCTTTTCTATTTTATGCTTAATTATTATTGATTTACTATTAAAACTAAAATTATCATTGTAAACCGATTCTTTTCTATTTAATGCATAATTATTTTTATCTTACTTTTAAAAATAAAATTTTCATTGTTGTATTTAGACTTATAGTCAACTATCATTACATACACATTTAATAGTAGTTATTCTTATGTTTTCTGACTCTACTTTTCAGAGTAAAATTTTAGAATATATATATTTTTTTTGCTTTTTAGAACACATTTAGTTCTGAACTTGTTATCTCGAAAACTAGCTATATCAAAACTTTTTTAGCGTCCCTTTAACTTTGAGATATCGAGAATATATCGCATTAAAAATTATTTTGTTATAAAACGATTAATGCGTTGATTTTTCATAAAATTTTCCATTGAGTGAACATTTTTTATATTTGATTATTTCGAGCTATTTATACTGAAGAGCATAAAATAAGGAGACCTCAATTACCTACAGCTCTTCAAACTTCCATTTTGGTAACGAATTGCGGCTTTTTTCTGAGATTCAAAAACCTATTTTAAAAATAGCGTTTATTCACAATTATTACGCTTCTGTGCTTTATTTTTTGATTTGATTAATCTCAAGCTTTTTGATTAACGTATTTCAAGCAATCTTCTCAATTCAAGCAAATTTTTATTTACAATGTATAAAACAATTAATTAGAATGTTTAGATTTATACAAGATTTTAAATAGTTTAATTTGATTAATTTATTTGATTCGATTAATTTATCTCACTTTCAACATTCAACATTTTTCAAGGGCACATCTCAAACAACGAAGATTATTATTTACAATGATCAAATCATATGATTGAAAAAAGATTATTTTAAGGGGATTGTTTTAAAAATATTTCAAGATATTCAGTGGATTTCTAATAGCTTAATTACATGACTCACCTTGATTCATTAATTTACATATTTTATGTACCTTTTTTTAAAACACCACTTTTGAACGCAGAATTCAATTCTCATATAAAGATTTATTTAAGGTAATTCCCAAAAATTTATTTAAGAATTCAGGGGGATTTAAAATTTTGCTATTTAAATTATCGTCTGATTTGATTATTAGTAAACAAATTTGAAGCGGGCGTCTCAAATCATGTGTGAAAATCTGATTTTAAGGTGAAGACTTTTCTTTTTAAGGGAATGTCTCTTTTTTTACTTTCTTTTTGCTTAGTGTGCATTTAAAATAATACTATACTTAAACAATTTTAATGAACATGTAATAGATTTTTATTTAAAAACATGCTGTTATTTTCTAATCTTGAAAGAAAATTTTTAGTCAAAATGTAATGCATCTAAGATGTCGATTAATACTTTTTCATATCAAATCGTTATAGTTATACCATGAATAAAATTTAAAAAACAGTAGCTTGAAGCTTTTTTTCACTTAATCTTAATAACTTAAATTTTTCTTTAAAAAAAATCCCAATGCGCAGCAAAGTTTTTAAAAAAGTGATGAAGACAAAAGGAAAGAAATTGTTTCCAGAGTAAACAGTGAGCAAAATAACCATCTGGAAATTTACTAATGAACGAATACAATAGGTATTCCAGTAAAAAAAAAGATAATAAAAAAAGGCCTATGTAAGCCATGAGTCATGTTCTTTCGGCAGCTGTCACTCAAAGTTAGGAAGACAGAACATCTTCTGACTTACACCACTCTTTCTTGATGTAAGTATCAAGACGTCTGCTTCTTTGTTGCTTATCCAAGCTATAAATCCTTCATACCGATATACAAACTATCCTTTGAAGTCCGTTTTTAGCCTTAGAAGTAGGCAGATGCGGGCTTCAGAGACACACGCCAAAGCCTTAACTCAGTCATTGTTTGGTATGCCATCGAGTAAGAACTTTGGCTCTGGAGGATGGTGGTGATACATACTTGGTTCCGAATCACCAGTCAGCATTCCTAAAATCAAAAATTGTCCATCCACTCGGAATATTACAGCTATTCAACAAATCGTTATAAGAAATTATAAAATCGCTTGTTGAAACTACAAGATTATTTGCTTATTTTATTGAAGAAAAAAAAAGCCATTCATTGGATTTAAAAATCGTTTGGAGAAACTGAAGATTACATTTTTATTGTATTAAAAGCAAAGCTTTATTTGGAACTTAAAAATCGTTTGGTGAAGTAGAATATTTCTTGTTTATTCCATTGAAGACAAAAGGTATAGTTGGAATTTTGATGAAACTGATGATTTCTTGTTTAATCTGTTGAAGCCTAAACTGCATTTGGAATTTAAAAATCGTTTGGTGAAACGTAAGATTTATATATTCATTCCATTGAAGACGCAGACGTGTTGGGATTATAAATCGTTTGGTGTTAATTGTGAATATTGAGGCATTTAATTTATAGCGTGATAGAAAACATTGTGGACTTTAAAATATAAAAATTCTATGGCAATAGATAAATAAAATAATTGATTTAATTCAAGAGGAAGTGCTGCTTTTTAAACATCCATATTCCCTTGTACGTTAAAATAAAATATCCTATTAAAATTGAAATAGTTTTAGCATACATTCAGTTTAAAGATTTTTCTTAATGACGTAAGTAATTTAACCTTTAAAAATTTTGAAAATGTACGTACTAAACTTAAGTTAAAACTGTAATTGCACCGTGCACGATTAGAGTACCGTTATTTACCTATGGGTACTACAAAAACCCCTACTTTTATTGAAAAACCCAAACTAAGAGAGGATGAAGAAGAAGATATCGTTTACTTCGAATGCGTCGTGGAAGCTTTTCCTAAGCCAGATGTTTTGTGGTATTTTGAAAATAAAGTCTTAAAGAAAACAAAGAAAATCTCCAAAATTGTGAAAACATTAGAACCCAATAAATTTTTTATTGCCTTAAAAATAGTTGAGCCCGAAGAGGAGGATTCGGGCGAATATAAAGTTTCAGCGACTAACAGAATTGGTAATGCTATAGGTACCATCAAGGCAGATTTTAAAGGTGAGTTGTCAATTTTCATTGGCTAATCGCATCCTATAAACATGTATATTTTAAATATTTGTTATTGTCCATAAAATTTCAACCATTAACGAAATAGGAACAGTTAAAAATGTTAGGATAATGTATCAATTTAATAGTATAAAGTAAGTATTCATAAATGTGTCCGTTTTGTTAAAATATCGGAAAATTTTGCGATTCTGTGAAAATTATAATCATAATTTCTGGTTCGAATTTTAAAAAAATTAACAAATGAAATTGCATTTGAAATAATTTGTTTGCTAAAAATATTTCTATCCTATTAAAAATTAGTAATATATATATAATTATAATATATTATGGACATTAGTATAATATATATTAGTATATATATTAGCATTATATATATATGTATATTAACTTAAGACATAATTCAAACAAACTATTTTAAAATGAATTCATCTTTAAAATCGCATTTAAATTATAAATTTTAGTGTGCAAAAATAGTAATTTTGGAGAGATAATGGAATCTGATAAAAATATGTAATCCATAAAAGGGTTTACTTATCAGAATTGCGGTTGTTGAAGGCAAAATTGGGATTACAATTTTATCAAAACGGATTTTAATACTATCCAATCGGTATTAAATAGTTGTGCAGATTGTTTAAATATTAGTCGATTTTGCATGCCTTTAATATTTATAAAAAGTAGTAATTATACAAAATTTTCTACAATTTCTAAATTCAAATGTCTATAAAGTTTTCATTAACAGAGTTGGAAAATAGTATTCAATAGTATCAAATAACTGTTCAAATATTTCAATAGTGGTTGGTATTTTGATTGTTAAAGCATAGTTAAGTTTGGCATCCCTACATTTTCTATTAAAAATGAGTAAAAAAATTTTCGCAATTTTCGAAATTTAGGAAATATTTCGACAGAATAATTTGTTAAGTAAAACGCCGAAACCTTACTTTAAATAATAAACTTTAACTTACTTTTATTCAATAAAATATTTTAAATGCAGTAAGATTTATCTAAAAAGATTTGAAGTTATGGGAGTTATGAATAATTGTGAGTTTTATTTTATTAGTTGTGTTATGAAAAACCTACAATCATTAAATTAAGTTCGTAATAAGGTTGTTGATTTTAGCATTAAATCATTAGAAAACTTGCATTCCTTTTTTACTATAAATGGTAAAATTCAATTCAAATTTTTCCAGAAATAAAGATTGTAATAGAATAACTTCTTTCACTAAAAGCTAATTGTTGCATTCTGATTTTAAATTGAGGTATAATACACACAAAAAAAACAGACTACCCTAAATAACTTTTGATCTAACGATCAGATATTCACGTTCTTCGGACGCAATCTTTATTTTAAATATCTGACTTTTTTGACATTCAACTTCTCTGGAGCTATTCTACCGATTTTGTTCAAATTTTGTATTTTGTCTTGTAAAATGATATTCTTTAAAATAAAGCAAAGAATTATATACCTTACAATTCGAAACTTTTTCGACCATTAATAATAAATAATATTTAATAAAGGTTATTTTTTTGCATGGAGCTATCTTTGCACAAACGAATTTTATAATTGTGTGCAAAAAGTTTTAAATTTGCTTAAAAAGTTTTCGAGATACAGCGAAATACGCAAAAAGTAAAATTAACGATAAGGGGCCAAAACTTTGGTGAAGCGCTCTCTTGATCAAACTTTTTGGACCATATTTCCGAGACTGCGGCTACCCCCTATATTTTGGGAGCCAGAAATCCCAATCCGTTGATAAAAAGGCATGTTTATTCAAATTAAGTACGTTTTTGTGTTTGATTTCGTAACTTAAAATATTGTTTGCTCTTCTTAATTAGCATATTTGAGATCACTCCCTAGAAACATTAAGATTGAGTCCTAGAACGAGAAGGTCCGATATTTAGATCAAAAGCTATTCAGGGTGGTCCGTTCTTTTTTTTACGCATTAAAGGAAAAGAAAAAACAACACATTATTCGAACAAAAGAACTAAGCGAAACCATCAGAAAAGAACTAACCATCAGTAACAATTTTAGCTCTAAATCGGTGAAATTAAATAAAATATAAAAATAGTGGGATTAATAATACGGGCCAACATGAAACTTCCATCCCTAATTGAATTGGGATCTCAAAAAATCAAACAAAGACAAAAAAACTAACCTAATGTATATTAATGCAAAATAGCGGTGATTTATTAACATTATTATTATAATTTTTAATTTGTAAATTTTGTTCCGAGTATTTCTAAAATGAAGAATATTGCTGAAGAGTGCTATTTCATTAAAAAAGGTAATTTGAAAGGAGAAAAAAACTATCATTGTTAGAAAAAGAATTTGTGGGTCACAGAAGGTCACTGTGACCTCCCAAATATTTCCACCATTCAGCAAAATTTGCTTGGCAATCATTTGGCATAGCTTAGAAAATTCATTTTTTCTCATTTTATTTCAAAAACACAAATGAAATTATTATTACACCTTTATTTGACTCTTTTGCAGAAAAGAAAAGAATGGAATAGTATCGTTTTAAGTATCCATTTCTCATTCCTGATATTTTCTTCAACAAATATAATCCCGAATCCTTTATAATCCTCTTTTCTTCAACAAATATGAAGTCCATTTGTCAATCACTCGCATAGAGATCGTATTTTCCAATACAAATGAGCCAGTAATATCAATTAGCTTATCTTCAAAAAAACCCTCGTCTTTCTCGTATGAAAATAAAAAATTCATATGATACAACAGTAAATGGGTAAATGCAGTTTGTTTAACTTAATAGGTAAATGTTGGAAGTAGTTGGAAAAGAAAAACAGTTTCACTAGTATATAATTAAATTATTTTAATTCTTAAATACGCAAAAATTTTCTTTGTATAAGAAACTGAATAAACAATACGTTAACACTTTTAACTATCACTTAATATTTAGATAAAAGTTATGGCTGTTTTAGAAAATTATTACTGAGCTTGTTTCTCACTGTCCTAAGACAGAAATTATTAAATGAAACAAAATGACATTTTTTTTTCATTACTAGGGAAACAACTAATGAACATTCAGATATGAGAATGTTAATCATGCGGTTATTTTTTGATTTATTTTATGCCAAGTTGAAGATTTATTTTTTGCGTCTTGTCCCTCAGTCTAGCGAAAACAATTATGTTGCGGTGAGTTTGTAAATCTGGATGCATACCGAAATGATGAAGAAAATGGATATTCAGGAGTTAGACAAAAGGATTTTTCCTATTATTTAAAAATGTAGAAACGCTGCTTAGAAAATTGCAAGAAAGTCTTTGCATTTTTAAGATAATCAAATCTGACTTTTTTGTGTTCACCATCCAATGAAGTGAAATGGGTTCGAATCCCAGCGATGGCTGGTTGATACGATTCCGCATTCGGCTTGCACCGACCACAGTGCTGACGTGAAATATCCTCAGTGGTAGACGGATAATGGGTTAGAGTCCATTTCACGTCAGGTTAACAGTGGGAGGTTCTCGTGTTCTTCCTCTCCATGTAACGCAAATGCTGGTTAGTTTAATCAAAAAGACCTCCACGAAGGTAAATTTCTCCCCATACTCGATCCAGGAGTTCCCTTGTCTTCTGGATGGGGTTCAAAATGACAAGGCTACGGAGTTGAACATGCGTAATCGTAAATCCTAAAAAAAATTGGGTCAGCTGTTCAACGACGGTTCAAAAATAAAATCATCAAATACGATTCAAAACAAAATTAAGAAATTTTTTGTAAAAATGTTTTTCGCAGTATTAAAGGATTACTTTTAATACTGATGTCTTTTAATACTAATTATGAAGATGAAAATAGCTCAAAATGGGTGTTTAAAATAAATAGTCTCAGCTTGAACAGAAAATTGACATATACGTTTAAGAAAATTGATACAGTATTTAATTGCGCTTCTCAAATTTCTCTTATGATTTTTTTTAACTAATTATCTAATGAATGCAAATAAATTGGTAATTAGATATCGTCTATTTACATAACTCATTTTAAACATGTTATTAAATGAACCTGTCTTTTTTTTAAAAAAAGCTTTAAAGGATCAAATCTGTTTCTATAAGATTGCCCTTGTTGCTATAAATTCATAATAATGAACGTTAAATTTACGTTGTAGGAATTAATCTTAAACTTTACTTTCTTCAAAACAAAGATTGCTTAGAACTTGTTCTTAGCAAATATTGTTTAGAATTCTGAATACGAAGACATCGCCTGAAAAGTTATATCAGTAATATACTAAGTCACCTGACCTCGAAGTCAAGTTTCAACATAGACCTGGTCTCAACAACGATGAATCAGCAAATCAATGGGTAGAGATAAAAAAAAAATCAACAAACTCACAAAAAAATTTTGTATTTCTAGTTTAATCCAGAATACCAAATATCAACTAAAAATAAAATAAAGTTTAGTCAACAACAATTTGTAGGCTGTGTCAATATAAATACGTACATAATGCAATCTTTGCAGTAATAGTGTTATATTTACAATGAGTGGAATGTTGTGCATTACTATTAAGCAAAATATGAATAGCTGTGGAAAATCACATAAATTTATAATTATCTGCAAAACGGCAGATTATTCGCATAATTTGTACCTTTTCGCAAAATGTATTTATCATGTAAATTTGTCTTAGTGATTTTTTCCCATGCAATTTAATCTTCTTTTCAATTCAATTGAACCTTTTAGTAATTTTTACAGGATTGGTAATTGAAAAAATATGTATAAGACAAGGGAAAAATTTTAAAAAAAATGTTTCAGTTTCCTTACATAAATTTTACCTATTCACATTATTTAAAAAAATATTGGAGCATACTTGTCACATAATTTCACTGTCACCGGGATATCGACACAGAAAGGATAATTTAAAAAAAATGATAAATATTTATTTCAATTGGCGATTCTCTTAAAATTTTGCAAAGTATAAATCCGTCGCCAGTAAAAGATTAGGAGACAGAAAAATCTTATTGTTATCGTATTGAAGTCATTTCAGAAATTAAACGGATTTTTTCAAGCAAAAATACACCAAATACAATTCACAGTATACCCTGGTTGGTAGAACGTTGAGCCCGAGAGGTCGTGAGTTTGATTCTTGCAGGCCGAAGACTTTCCGTGTAGTAAATGGTGACTGGTGCACGATAAACCTGTCGGGTCATAAAGTTCTCCAAATTCCCATAACAAATCAATATTTCTGGAGGTTCTGAATTGGAGATTGTTCGTTCTCTGGTTCAAGTCAAAATTACGGTTTCTGAATGAATGAATGGACCCGACTTATAAACTGGTTTGTGGCTGTAGACCCGACCTATAAACTTGCCAATATTCAGTGGTGCCATTTATGGAAAATTCTTGGCCATAAATGGCACCACTGAAAAGCAAGAAACTCACCCTCTGCCTTAAATTTGCTTGTTTTTACCAAGCATTCTTGCTGATATTGGCAAGTGACATTAGAAACAACAACAACAATGACAATTCTACAATCGACGTTATCAGGAAGACTACTTAGTATCACACATTTGTCTGTTTTAAGATTTTTGTAAAATTCTGTAATTTACGATAAGGGAGAATTTTTATCATGGTCGAAATTTGTTTTTGTTAGTTTAAACAAGAATTTTTTTTTAAATTCTCGTAACAGACAGTACACAAAATATGGCTCTAATCTCTTTTAGCTTTACCTAAATTAATTAAATCAGTGATCGATTAGGATAAGTACTTAATTGATCCTTAGGTTTAGTGTTATTTTATTATAAGCGGTGGTATAAATTTTGATACTTCACAAAAATTTTATATTTACTATAATTTAAGACAATATTGTAAATATACTTTTTCATTGAACTTTAGTTTTTGATTTTCGAAATAGGGTGTGGAGTATGGAAAAATATGACCCTAATAGTTTAAACAAGACAGTGGTTAAAAATTTGATTCCCTTAATCTTGCTTACGCTTTTTTGCTTTCTTTGCTATATCTTTAGATTAAGCCAAACAAAACATTTTTTGCACGTAATTATAACCTTTATTCATAAGAAAAAAAATTCTAAGATAAAAATAATTTTTTTACATTTATCAATTACTTTTTACTAATTTATTAAATTTCGATTTTATATAAAATAGTTCAAACTTATAAAGTATGCCATTTTTTTCTTAGTTTAAATTAAATTGCAAAATTGGTCAAGTAATCCAATTTTAAGAGAATTTATGAAATAGTTCTTGAGGGAAAAAAAGTGATATGCAACTTGATTGAAATGTAGACATCAAAGGAACAAAACCTCCCTGAAACATTGGAACCGTAGTTAACAGATCCCCATGTAATTGGAGGGTCAAGAAATAAAATCCGTAGAAAAATGTATTCGGGATTTCACTTGATTGAGAAAATTCAAAAATGTATATTCTAAAAGACTATTCTATTGTGGTTGATTTTGTAATTTAAAATAGTATCAACCATAAATTAATTAGCATAATGTTAGATCAAAAGTAATTAAGATTTTCTCTCTTTTCAGCGTTCTACAGTACTTAATTATCTGCACAAAATTAATAACTGAATCATTTCATTGCTTTAGATTTTAGAGCGAAAAACCTGAAGATTAGTTATCAAGGTCTGGTTTCTTAGGACAAGCGCCTTATCTGGGCGTCAGCGGGACGCCAACGTCCCGCTGACGCCAACAAAATACTGGTTTGTTAGCTCAAGGCCTGGTTTCTTAGAACTAGCGCCTTATCTGGGCGTCAGCGTAAAGTTGACGTAGAGCTGATGCCAAAAAAATAATTTTTTGTTAGCTCAGCGTGAGCAGTCGGTCCAACGCAGACATTATCTCTCATTGCGCATGCGTTAATAACGTAAACAAATATTTATTTTGAAGTTNCATGTAGATTTATTAAATACACCTTGTGTGCCACCTAGGAACCAAATCTAGAGCCCGACACTCGAGATTTTTGCTCTGTTACAATCGTACCCTGTTACAATTGACCCCACTCTCCCCTACTTAATTATCTGCACAAAATTAATAATTGAATCATTTTATTGCTTTAGATTTTAGAGCGAAAAACCTGAAGATTAGTTATCAACTCACTACCAAATACATACGAAATAAAGCGAAACTTTTATTTCTGACGCTTATTTTAAATGAATTTGTTCCTTCACATGATGAGCCACAATCAAAAGTTCAGTGAAAACTGATGAAAAAAAACCCCCAGCGAAATTGAAAATAAAATACAAAAAATGTAACTTTAAGTCCAAGGGGAGAGGAGGAGGGGGTTCATAAATGATTATATGCTTTGTTTCATTTTTAATTATGAACTGAAATGATTTATTATGAAAAATCATGAATTAATTTTAATTATAAAATTATGAACTGGTATGATTAATCGTGAATATAACTAATCATGAATTAATTTTAATTATGAGCTGAAATGTTTAATTATAAAAACAATTAATTATGAATTAATATTATTATGAAATTAAATTTGATTTTCTTTCCTTTTACAGCCGTAGAAGAGCAAATTCCGTGAGTAGCTTTTTGATTTGTTTGTTTCGATTATATATTTTTGTTTTTCTGTCATATTCATGTATTGCATGTTTTTGTTTCTATGTCTCTCCCTGTTATAAATTCGTCAACACCGTCACCACTATTCTGGTTATTCAATTTTACATTATATTTTGTTTTCCTGCTCAAAACTTTAAGCTACGAAGGTGAATAGAAAATAGAACAGGAAGAGCGATGAAATTAAATATTCGAGAATTATTGATTGTTAAACTCGTAGTGAAAAATAACATGCAGGTCTATATGCAGTACACAAAAAGGAAGCTGTGATTTTTGATAGGCTGAGTGAAGGTTTATAGTAGCTAATTCCAATTTATTTGAAAGTTACTGCGATTTCAAGTGCTTTTTTTCTTCTTTATGTCCTTTTGCTGGGCAAAAACTCTAACATATAAACTTGAAATTACAAAGGTGAATAGATAATGCAATGAAATTAAAAACTTGAAGTTTGATTATTTGTTTGGGAATTATCAGGAGTTGAAACTGTAAGTAGTTGAATTGTAACCACAATTTGAAGTGTTAAAAAGGGTCATTTTCGTTTATTAACATAACGCCAATTTTTCTTTTGCGAAAATACAATTTGTTCGAAAGTTATTGTTTATACAGTGGTTTAGAGGATTATTTGAGTTAACAAATTTTTTACTATAGTAATGACTATTTATCCAATGCTGTAGAGAATTTATTTCTCTAGAGTATCGTTAGTTTATTTTAGAAGCTTTCGCTTGAGTGGATGTCAAAATTAACAGAACGATGAATGAAAAGATAACATAATGAGAGAGAACAACAGATCTTAACATTCATCTTAACATTCTTCTTGACACTTTTAAAAAATAGAAAATATTGAGGAGAGAAAAATGTAATTCTGAACTATATTAACTATGAGATTTGTTTCATTAGCGAGTAAAATTAATCATTTCTACTGCATTGCACATTCTTACGTTTGAATTTTTTTTTTCATGTTCGCCATGAATAATAATTTTATTTGATTATTTTTCCAACCAAGATAAATGTTCATTTCGTTTGGATTAAAGTACAAAAAATATTACAATTATGTTTTATAAACAAATTGAACTTTTTGTAAATTGCTACTATTAGTTCACATTCACCCTATAACTTGTTCAAATTTTCTGTCTTTAATAAAATACTGTTTATTTATTCACTTCAAGTACAAATAAATTTTTTTTTGAGCTTTTAGTGGATGACGATTGATCTCAATACAGTTTTTTCAAATATTATTTCATTAATTGAAAAAAAAACGAAATCGAATTTTCTGATGGGTAAAGCTTTAGTCATTGTTTTGAATTTTACTACTAGCGATTCAAATTTTTACATATTTTAAAGATAACATCGGTGATAATTTCTAACTCATAGCTCTATTTAAACAAAAAAAAATGGTATAATGGATATATACTTAAAAAAAACCTTTTTTTATATATATTACCTGTTTTAGAGAAAGACGTTCAGAGGAAAAAAAAACGCACTACAAAATCAAATTATCTTCATATATATTTTCATCGCTCGCTTACTCTTTCAAAAACAGTTTCCCTCGTCAGCTGAAAGTGTGATTTTCAAGTTCTATTTCAGCTCTTTTGGCTAATGATTTTAACAAGAAATTGTCATTAATCATTTTGTCAAAATCATATCAAAATGATAAATTACAATTTTGACGAAACAATCCTCTGTTGTGATTCTTCTTTCAATAAATGCGAGACAGCTGTGAAAGTCAAGGGCGATGGATTCTCGCCAAAAATAAAGATTTTTTTTTTTAATGCAGAATAAATTTCTGTAGTTCTTTTAAAAGCCCCTTTAAAGCAGAAAAAGGATTCTGTTGCCACATGTTGATAGGCTTGTTGTAAGAACAATGGAAGATAGTTGGTGGGAGCCACGTAAAAAGCAAAATGATGTTTATATGGTTTCCTTTTACTGTACTATTAAGCACACACGAGTGTCTAATAAAAGAAAATAGAATATGTTTTTGGATATGTATGGAACACCGTGAGTAAAGTACAAATAATAATACTGAAGGCCGGGATAGCCTGCTTGGCAGGGAGCTGCACTCATGTTCGTGAGAACGGGAGATCGAATCCTGCCGGTCGAAGATTCCCCATGCAATAAATGGTGACCAGTGCGCGTTAAATCTGTTGGGTCGTAAAGTCCTCAATATTCCCCTAACAAAGTACTGAATGCTGAGTACTCCGGGAGTACTGAGTTGGAGATTGATCGTCCTCTGGTTCAGATCAAAATCTGTGGATGAATGAATAGTTTATAGGGGTTCGCTCCATAAACGGGTGTGGTAGAAGTCGAATTCTTGACAGTAGATGGCGCCACTGGAAAACAATAATCGTATCCCTTTCCTATGACAACAACGACACTGAATCGGGCTTACTAAATACTTGCGGAATTCAAATGTTAGTTTTTGTGCTCCATTAATATTGTTTTTCTACATCTATGTAAAAAAAAAAGTCTGATTTTTATTTTAATTCTGACTCCATTGAAAAACCATACCACAAACATTTTCTATTGATTTGGTTTAGTGGACACCAGTACAAAACTGCTATATTTTTAGTTCTAATGTGACGACGTAAATTATGTCTCGTTGAAAAATCTATTTAGGTCGACTTCTCTGAATGGTGTACCACTATTCAAAAAACTTAAACTAGATTGCGCGTCAGAATGACTTCTGAACACGAAAACTTTGAAAATGGCGAAGTATTATCTTCGAATCAAAAGATGCAAAACATGAAACTTATAAACGCTCACAGAATCAAAATTCAATGTATAAAAAATAATCGTTTTGTTCTTTGCGAAATTTAAAAAAAAAGTTTATAAAAAAGTAATTGTATGAATGTTTAAATCTCTTATGCAAGCATCTTATCTAACTACAGGGAAAAGCTAGTTTTATCAAGTTTCAATAACGCGTCAAAATAACTACCGATGTTTATTTAAAACTGTTTGATAATAACTGGATTCGGTTTAATAACTTCAATACTTTAGAAACCTAATACTATTGTTAACGTTTACCTGATCGAGTTTCGCTGCTTTTTACCCTTTGAAAAAAATGTAGCTCGGGAGACTTAAAATTTATTCCCCTTGATCGACTTCAAAAATTTCATTACGACAAGAAAATATTTACAAAATTTCTTGAGAAGAAAAAACGATAGAGAAGAGTAGTTTTTTTTTCAGATTCATGTGAGTTTTTTAAAGATCTTTTACACACATTTTTAAAAGGTAAACTCTAAAACCTTTAAGTTATTGAAACCGACATATTTAAGAGTGACTCAGCTGTTGCCATTATGGAAAGAGAATTATGCGCCATTTTGGTACCACGTATGAGAAATAAATATGTAGGTGAGTGTTTAACTAAATAATATGTTCAATGAGATAAACAACTTATGAAACATTATTTATGCGCAATGTTCTGAAATTTGAATCATTTGAGATGAAATATAAAAAAAATATTCGCTGTTAGAAGTTGCCACGCGAATCACTCGAAATTTCACCTGCTTACATTGATTACGCAAAACTCGTTACTTCTTTATTTTGCTTTTTGTGACAGCCACAAATAAACTTTTAGAAAGGAAATATTTGTTAGCGATGCCGTGAAGCGTTGCCCGTTCCAGAAAACCACCCACGCATTCTCCTGTTTTTAGTAAAGCGGATATCTGCTGCTATCAGCTAAAAAAAGTCTTTTTTTTCCCTTCTAAGTAGGAGAAAGTGTCGATCTAATCATGACAAGATACACACGTGACTCAATATTATGAGCAATAGTAACTAATTTTAAAACTTACCTGCATTGTTGATGCCAAATCAACCTCTATTGCACCATCAAATGTTGACGTTTGTTTCTATTGTTGGTTTTGAATGGCGGCTAATTGGATTTCGTTTTTCTTTTTCTTTTTTTAGCTGTTTGTGGAAAGAAGCAGAATTGAGTGGGTTAAGAGTTAAATAGTTTTTAAATTAGGGGATATTTGATAGCCGTGGTGGGTGAACGAAAATACACTCCTGGTAAAAGGCTTAAACTGACTAATAGTACGAAACAGAGTTTCCAACCATGGCATTCTCCATCGAAACATTTGACGCATTCAGCATATTTTAAACGGACATCATCGGAGCTTTTAGAAATGTGTTATTTGTGTCCATATTCTAATAGACGGGATAGGTACATTGCACTTTTTTTCTAACAAAAGTGATTTTTAAAATATAAGTTTTTCTTGATCAGTAACTAGTTTAACACAGTAACTACTTAAATAACAGGAGATAAAATCGTTTTCCAATGAGGCGTTCTAAATCATATGTTTACTGATTTGACGTCTCATAGTGACCGTAGTATTCATGTAAAATTACTCCAATGACAGATGACGTGGTGGCCCACGGGATACAGCGTTCGTCTTCCGATGAGGTGACCCGGGTTCGAATCCCAGCGATGACAGCTCGATAGGAATTCTTCACCCGGCTCGCACAGTGCTGACGTAAGATATCCTCAGTGATAGACGGATCATAGGTTAGAGTCCCCTTGCAGTCAGGCTAGGGGTTTTTGTGGTTTTTTTCTTCATGTAACTCAAATGCGGGTTAATCCTCCGCAAAGTCCAAAAAGCTCTCCGCGAAGGAGAACTTTCTCCCAATGCCTGATCCCGGAGCTCCCTCGTCTTCTGGAATGGGTTTAAAATTACAAGGCTATGGAGTTAAACATTAGTAGTCGTAAACCCTAAGTTGGGTCGACTGTTCAAAGACTGCAATTAAAAAAAATAGTAGATGACAATTAGACGCGGTGGTTCAGGGCAAGAAGGGCTCGCCTGTCAATGAGGTAAGGTTGAAATCCCAACACTGTTCGATTCGAATATTATTCGTCAAAAACTTACATTATTAAGTTGTTTTGCCCTTAGTTTGGTTTCGTTTCCATAATTACTTTATTTTTTTTATGAATTTTAAAGATTCTCTATAATTTGTGGATAGAATTTGTATCCATT